GAGGGTCATGTCCAGCATTAGAGAGGGGAAGTTTTCAATGTCCTGTGAAATGAAAGCTAAACGTTATAGCCCGTTCTGAGCCTGAAAGTGTTTCTGTCGCGTGAAGCATTGTTCAGTACTTATGTTATGAACCCTTTGGTACTTATCAGGCATCATTGCAGATGATGTCAAGCCATTGTGAGTAGACTACACGTGCAACTCACTGCATACAACATGTACACTGCACATTGTAATTGGCTTCAGGTTGTGCATGATGACTTTTTTGTTGTGACATCTTTGGAACGTTGCACAATCATGTTCTCGTCAAATTTGGGAGATGTAGCGATTCTTGTCACTGTTGGTGTGTAGGTGTTTCCTACATAGCTTTGTCTTTGAATGGTCCAGGTTTCATCATGAAGGGGAAAGACCATCAGACTCTTCTACGGCACGTACACGCACGCCCACCGCACAATCTCAGGACCTGGTGTTTCTTGTACTGGTTCTAGGAAGTAGTGAAACTCACTGAACTAGATTATTATTGAAGACTATTCTAAATACACTGTGGGGTATACCAGTTGCGCAGCAAAAGCCCGCACTCGCACGTGCTATCGAAGGCTAGTAATTAAGGTATTACTATTAGAGTAGTCCGAGAAATTACATGACTAGGTAAACACTAGGATCTGACCCGTATGATCAACAATGTTGTTAACAATGATGAGAGTGTGCTCTTAACGTAATTGAGCGGCCCAGATGTTCCAATCAATTACTTCTAACATGCTATCCTTGCAACCCAATCTACTTATCTACGCAGAGCATACACTGTTGTAACGAATATCATGAACAATGTAATACTTGTACCACAAAGCAATACCGTGCACTAGACTCTAAATACATGACACCACAGTCATCAGTATTAGACCAATGCATGCAAGCAAGATCAGCAGTTATCCTTCATCACCTCCGCCTGGTGGCATGTAGAAACTCACTACCGACCATGCAATTACTGCGTGCGAAAGCGGGCAGGCGGTCGAATGGCAGACCTGTCTCGCAACACTCGCTCGTCTGGAGTATCGCTACTCGGCGAGAACACTACGTATGGCCCGCTGCCATCACTCTCTTCTCCAGCCGATTCCTCCTCTCTATCATGGCGAGGCTCATCTGCTGGGTCCGAGGAAGGTGCAGCTGGCACGTCACGCTTCAGCAGGTCGATGTTGATGACCTTCTCCTGCAAAACACCCTTGAACCTCCGCCAGATGACTACTGTCGATCCTGACAAGACCTTCTTGATACGCCAGCCACATTGGTATGGAGGAGTACACTTCTGGCGCCTCTTTGGCTGCTGGAGGAGGACGCTATCATCAGGCGCGAACGGGCACTCATGCTCGGATTCACAGTGGTCTTTCTCGGACATCTCCGCATCAAGCAGGTCGCGAACTCTCGCACACCTCGCTGCATGCTCGTCCTGCCACTCTCTGGGATCGGATAGGTTGATGCGGGCGCTCACCAATGCTCGAGGCTGCCACCCGATCATTGCTTTCATTGGTGAAATGCCGATGGCGCTGTGGATGCGGCTGTTGTAGTAATGTATCAGCACCGGGAGCTCGGCGAGCCAATCCGTTGATTCTTCCAGGACCTTCCTTATGAGGCCGAGCAGCGTGCGATTAAAACGCTCAGCCATGCCTTGCGTCTGTGGGTGCCTGACAGCTCCTGTCTTGACCTCAACACCAAACACACGCAGAAGGGCCTTGACAATGTAGTTGCGGAACTCCCGGCCATTGTCCATCCGGATCACATCTGGCGTTCCCCATCTACAGCACAACTCGACAATGGCATCGGCCACGCTCGCACCATCGTGCCGACGCAACGGGACAACTTCGGCGTACTTCGTCAGGGCATCAACGCAGACCAAGACGCAGTGGATTTCCCCGCTCTTGCTCGCCCCAAGCTCCAAGGTGTCGATCTGAACACAGCCCCACGGTCTCCCGGGCATATCTGGTCGTGTCGCTGGCGCCGCTTGTCCTCCTGCGGCGTTCGCAGCCTTGCAACGCTGGCAGCTGCGGACATGTTGCTGGCATTTCTCGGCCATGCGTGGTAGGTAGCAGCGTTCACGCAACATCTCGTACATATTCTGCCATGAGGCATGGCCGGAGTTGGTGTGGGCAGCGCTAATAACAGACTCTTCCGCGGATTTAGCGATGACAGGAACGAGGATTTCACCCTCAACAGGCAGCTTAACGCTTCGGAGCAGGACGCCATCCTCGACGACGAGCTGACTTGCCACGCTCCTGTAACCAGCATCGCGAACCGCCGATCGGGTAGCCACCTGGCTGGCGACACGCTGCACCACTTCGTCTTCCAGCTGGGCTGCCGCCACGGCGTCAAACGAAATTGGGCCAACAACTGTCGTTTCGCACACAGCGCCGGCGGTGACGTCGGGAATGCTACCCACGGATCGAGTAAGCCAGACGCTTGGAACTCGGGTCAGGGCATCTGCAATGTTGGAGTCAGACGACACCCATACAACATCCACTGCGGCTCCAATCGTGTCAATCATATCGCTGACAATGTGTAGGCGCCTCTGCACCAACAGGTCATGCAAGCCAGTGGTCTTCACTCGTCGGACATCGTTGATCACTTGCTTCAGCCACCCGAAGACGGTCTTGGAATCAATCTTCAGCGTAATCCGCTTCACATTCCACTTCGCAGCCAGATTGAGACCCAGGATGGCCGCCTCCAATTCGGCAATATTGATGTGCCTCTTGTCCTGGTGTGGTCGTAGCTGCGTGGTATCCTCCACCACCTTGCCGTCAACCTCCAGGGCAGCACCAAGGGCCAGGCCGGACGCATCACACCACACCGTCCATGTGTTGCTGTCGCCAGCAGAGATGCTCCACGTTCCCTTTGCTGGGTCGACTTCGGCTAGCCGCTTCTCAAGCTCCTCGCAGCAGACCTGGATAGCCGGTGGGACTGGATCATCCCAGGACGCATCGTCCGCCGAAGCTGCTCTCTTCAAGAAACTGCAGGCAGGTCGCAGCCATGAGCATACCGGGTAGTGGCTTGTCAGTCGTCCACACCATTGGAAGATTCTCCTCCTAGTTGCCGGACGCTCCAAGGTCATGGCAGCTGGCTCCTTTCGCGACCAGAACGTGTCACCACTGGACGACTTGGTCAGCTGGAGGCCAAGGACCCGAGCCTCTGCCAGTTGCTCTGCGGGCTTGGTTGGTAGGCCGAACTCATTCAGTGCACCAGACACCTTCGGCACTAGGGCACTAGGGACCAGCAGGTCGTTATAGTAGTTATCTACTCCAGGATACGGCTGGGTGACGTACTTCACAACGGCATCCATAAACTTGGGCGCTACCGCCAACCCGAATCCCATTCTCGTCATGACGTGAGCTTCTGCCTGACGCCATCGACGTAGCGTGTCACCGCAGACTGGTGGGTCAAAACCAGGGTCAGAGTGGAGCTTTTTATTCAAGTGACGGTAATCCAGGCACGGCCTCACCGGCGTCGTCTTGTGTTCTTGCGGAACACCGATGAGCGGCAGCACACATGCTGGCTCGCCATGTAGCTTCGGGTCGTGCTTGATCAGCCAGCCGTTGTCTATCCAGGATTGCACCTCACTAACAAACAGGCGCTCTTGCTCCGGAGTCAGGTTCGTCCTGCTGTACTCTCCGATACCCGGGCCGAGCGGCATTGCAGGAGGTTCACCATCGAGCCACTTCCAGGTCAACTCCCATTGCTTCTCAGCAGGGCTCCAGGTCACGACACCGTCCGCAATACTGAGCATAACCTTGCCCTCGTCAGTGGTGCTGACTTTCACCCGACGCGACGGATGGCCAGATCGACCATCATCATCCTGCCCCTTCGGGGACAGCCGATCGGCAGTGGCTGCAACAGTGTCGCTGGCTGCGGCTCCAAATACAACTCCGCAAAGCTGTCCATCACTACTATACTTCAGTTGCAACCCACCGCACCGCGAAGCGACATCCGCTCCAATCAGCACGTCAGCACGGACAGTGCTTAGGCTTTCAACTACAAGCGCTCGTACCTTGACTCTGGGAAGGTTGACAGGCCCATCGTTTCGCTCTAGAAGGACCTCTAGATGCCCCAGAACTTCGATTCGATTGCCGTCCAGAGCCACAAGGTTGGTCTCGAGAGTGTCTGGGCCGTCGTACGTGAGGCTGCTGCGGTCCGCGAATGCACGGCTGATCAACGTCCTCGTCGAGCCCGTGTCTACAACCGCTTGTCCGCGTGCACGTGCGCTCACAATGGACGATTCCTTGCCGGCGTTGTCACCAGACGCTGCACTTACACCAACGAAGATTTTTACCAGCTGGCCTGACTTCTCGCTCCCATGCCCCATGTACAGGCAGCGCTCCTCCGCCGGCTCACCTCGTTCCACGGAGCATTCCTGCGGGGAAGACGTGCAGGCTGCCGATGGTGATGGCTGACCGGTGACTTTGCTTGACCTCTGGGCCTCCCAGGCCCTCCGTTCTTCGCAGTCTGCTTTCAAGTGGCCAGGCTTGTCGCAGAAGAAACAAGTGAGGCCAGGCCGCACGCCACTTGAACCCCCCGCCGCTGAGCTCCTCCAAGCACCGCGATCGTAGCCAGACTTCGCCTCCGGGCAGTTTCGCCGCACGTGACCAAGCTTATTGCAACGGAAGCAAAGCACATTCCGCGTACCAGAGCCTGCCGGCCCGGGGCCACTCGCGCCACTTGCAGCTGAAACAACATCATCCTCAGTTCCAGTTTGCTGCAATGCTCGAACCAACTGCAGGCACAACGATACGTCGTCGCCTTTTCCAACCAGAGCAAGGCGCACTTGCTGCGCCATGGATGAAGGTAAGCCGTTCAGGATTTGCTCTACGAGCACGCTGTCTGCATCCGCGCCTCTTCCAAGGCCTGCCACCGCTGCTAGCCTCCTAAGGTCGGCAATGTACCCATCTGGGGATTCATCCAGCTGCAAGCGGCGTGCAACAAACAGCTTGTATGCCTGCGACTTCGTGAGGCAAAACGCTTCTTTCATTCTTTTCTCTACTTCGTCCGGTTTCTTTTGGTCCGCGTCATCCATGGCGTTGTAAACCATAAACGCATCGCCGTCCAAGTAGAGCGGAAGCTGCGCCATCTTCTTGTCGTCTGTGTCCCACTTCTGGTTTGTGGCCAAGAACGCGAACTTGGCCCAAAACACCTCCCAGCTGTCGCCCTTCCCTCTGTAGGGGCGCAAGAACCCTTCAATCTTCGCCGCCATACTCCTCACCGGACCTCTCTCCAGGAAAACCCACAGCAGTACGTTCTGCCTATCCCGGGTTTCGGCACCAAGAGCTGAAGGGGAAAGACCATCAGACTCTTCTACGGCACGTACACGCACGCCCACCGCACAATCTCAGGACCTGGTGTTTCTTGTACTGGTTCTAGGAAGTAGTGAAACTCACTGAACTAGATTATTATTGAAGACTATTCTAAATACACTGTGGGGTATACCAGCTGCGCAGCAAAAGCCCGCACTCGCACGTGCTATCGAAGGCTAGTAATTAAGGTATTACTATTAGAGTAGTCCGAGAAATTACATGACTAGGTAAACACTAGGATCTGACCCGTATGATCAACAATGTTGTTAACAATGATGAGAGTGTGCTCTTAACGTAATTGAGCGGCCCAGATGTTCCAATCAATTACTTCTAACATGCTATCCTTGCAACCCAATCTACTTATCTACGCAGAGCATACACTGTTGTAACGAATATCATGAACAATGTAATACTTGTACCACAAAGCAATACCGTGCACTAGCCTCTAAATACATGATACCACAGTCATCAGTATTAGACCAATGCATGCAAGCAAGATCAGCAGTTATCCTTCAATCATGATGAACACTGAAATCACTCCGGCTCCATATCAGTCCTCAGTCTTGATGCATAGTACAGTCCCGCTCAATGAAATCCAGTCGCGTCACTCAAGTTTGCGCCTTGCACCATTTCGCAGCCCAGTATTTGCAGGTCTAGGGCTGCACAACGCCCGGCGCGTACTTGAGGGACGCGACTGGATTTCACGAAGCAGCACTGTACATGTACTAGTAATCACAATGATTGTGTTTCAAAAGTCCAGACCTCTAGACGTTTGTTTTCATACAATTCCAATTCGGTTGAGCTTTTTTTGAGAAATTTCTTTGGGATATAGCTCGGGCAGCTCCACCCCAATTTTCTCATATGATTTCTAAGTGAAACGAATGCTCAATTTCGGAAAATGTTATGCATAAAGTGATCACAGATTTATGTGGTATTGGTACTGCCTTAGCGGGTTTTTGAAGCTAAAGGTCTATAATTTATACGTTTGAAACACGCTGCGGTAGCACTTTGTAAGGGTGACTGTTATTCTTGAATCCCCTCACAGTGATTCTGTTCCGCTGTACAACTGCATGGGCCATGGTGGTGTTGGACAATCTCTGTTGCTGTTGCTGTCGTGGTTCTACCTTTTGCTCTTGTCCAGCCGAGTTGAATACGGAAAATTCTCTGACATTCCCTCGAAAACGTTTTCGTCGGCACCATATGTGTCCTCATTGTGAGTACCTCTAATGGGGTTTGCGTCCGTCCGTATGTGTGTGTGTGTGTGTGTGTGTGTGTGTGTGTGTGTGTGTATGTGTGTGCAGGGCCTGCTCTAGACATTCAACACAGCCCGGTCAGAGTGTAGACCCAGGTGCTCGAAGTCCGTACATGGTATCCTAAGTTCGTACGCCCATAATTTCATGTTCTGTTATTGTATTCGACTCAAATATTTTATGAAGCGGACAGTGTGGTATGTTCTACTCGCGTAGCAATTTTCAGGGATCTACGATAAGCAGAAGTCCCATATCACGCGAGTGGGTTTTCGAGTGTCCATACGAAATACAAATTGGGTTACATTTCATGCAAAAATCAACTTTGCCAAGACCGATTTCGAACGGACACAGCGTCAAACAGACCTTCACTCAATCATCAAGAGCCAGCTTAGAGCTGACAATGGCCAGAGGAGAAGAATTTACAGAGAACCACCAATCCTTGAAGAAAGGTTGACACTCCTGGCATCTCCACCACTGTTTTCCCGCGGTTTTCACAGCGCAGCTGCTTCTTCTCTGAGCCGACTAAAAACAGCTTGCATTTCGGCAACAAACTACGCTTTTGCAAGAAATACTGGCGGAGGCACATGCCAAACATATCCCTTCGGTGCTTTCGTCGTAACCGAGGGATTGCAAGTTAGCAATTAGCAGAAATATGTGTGTATTTCGAGTCACCTCTGATCAGTACGGACTTAGAGTACCCTCTGCGACACCAAAATTTGATATGAAAAATCAGCGAACTCCAAAGAAACAGATCGGATCGAAAGATGGCCTGGTTCAATCGAGCCTGGCCTCAGAACATACTTGGACAAGATACCTTCCATCCACGAGCAGGATTCTGGCAAGTGATCATTGCTAGTGTGAGTTTCAGCTCGGCAAACACACACTGTAAAAGTGTACGGACTTCGAGCACCTGGGTCTACCTGGCGCATGCAGGCCAGCCGGGTCAAGCCGGGTCAGATCATCCGGCAGAAAAACAACCAAAAAGCCTGCTCAAAACGCAGGAAAACAGAAAGGCGAATTTATTATCGGAAATTTTAGAGAACAAGGCATCGTCCAAATCACCAGTCGGCAGAAAACTTGCAACTGTGTCAAAAGTTATAGCCAAAGTTACGCTTTTGACTGCCTGCCCCGTCAATTTTGAATGTCCTGACTTCCTGCTCGCCGCTGGCCAGATCGCGCTCGAACCAGTTGACCCTAGCCGAGTTTCTGTCGCTTGTAGACTGTAGTGTGTACGGTTGCGCTAGATTTGCAACAGATGGGGTCCGCGAGTCGTAAAATACCGGTATTTTAGGAATCCATTGCCAGTTTGAGACATTTTTCAGCCGGGTCAGACTGGACCCGGTGTTATCTGTTCAGCCAGGTCGTGCAGTTCCCCAGCCGGGCGCGTGACCCGGCTGACCCGGCTGACCCGGCTCTCAAGCAGGCCCTGGTGAGTGTTTGTGTGTATGTGTGTGTGTGCATGTGTGTGTGTGTGTGTTTGTGTGTGTGTGTGTGTGTGTGTATGTGTGTGTGTGTGTGTGTGTGTGTGTGTGTGTGTGTGCCTTTGTGTTTTGAGTGTTCTCTTGAGAGAGGAGGAAGCAGTTTTTGGGGCTCCGAACTCTTCTTTCTTCGTAGTGAGTTTAGGGCCACGGGCTGGCTCCTGGCTTCTGCCAGGGCCAGCCCTGGTGAGTAGAAAACACTTAGTGACGCGGTGTTAGACAAGGCAGTCTTCATCTTGCTGCCGCGGAGGAGGAAAAATTCAGCGTTGACGACATGGCCACTTCGGATGTGACCACTCGCGCTGACCCTCTTTCGCCTGGGTGTAGAGGTCTTGCAAACCCTCGCCCAGAGTCTTTTCACTCGCGTGCACCAGCGGCTCGAAAGGTTGTTCTGTCTCTGGGAACGTGGAACGTCAGGACTCTTGTCGACACTGACGGAAATTTGAATACGGCGTCCAAAGCAAAAAATCAAGGAAAGTTTGTTCGAATATTCGCGAGGAGAGAAAAATTGACCTTGTGTGTCGTCAGCTCAGAAAGTATGGAATGGACATCGTTGGCCTCCAGGAGACGCTTTGGTTTGGCTCTCATCAATATACTAAGGACGTGGTGCGGACCGACCTGGCGGCAATTGGCATTGAGCCCAATTCCTGGCTCGACGTGGCAAGTAATCGCCGTGAGTGGAAGTCCCAGTGCCTTGATGGGGTGGATCGTATTGTACTTGCCCGTCAAGAGCCTGTCGACAAGCCTCTGCTTTGCGGTGTGTGCAACCGCAGTTTCCGCCGCCGTCAGGATATCGCACGGCATCGTTGTACATCGCGGCGTTCAATAGCAATTATAACCCGTGGGAATGCGCCGTCACGTCAGTCGTCGGGTCCTGGTGCCGCTTCCCGGAGACAGCGCTAATCCAAGAGCTGCCCCGTATGGGGCCACTTAGCCAGTCATGGCAGTGGAGAAGAAGGAAGGAAGGAAGGAAGGCCTTTGTGCATGTGTGTATGTGTGTGTGTATATGTGTGTATGTGTGTGTATCTTTGTGTGTGTGTATGTGCGTGTGTGTATGTGTGTGTGTGCGTATGTGTGTTGGTGAAGGAGGGTGTGCATGCATTTGGTTGAATGTACAGGAGCTATGAAACATGTTCCTAACTTCATTGTCAAAAACATAGGCACCACAGCATTTGAAAGCAAAGTTTTTTGTAAATGGGCTCTGGTGCGCTCTTCTCATTCTCTGCACAGATATCTCACGAATGGCCGGCTGAAGACTCTTCGTTCGGATAGTTTCTCCGGCCTCGTGCGGCTGAATCTTTTGTACGTGAATAATTATGTGAACACTGGAGACCTAGCTAAGTGCTGTGAAGTGTGGTTTGTGTTGTGTTACTGTTTTCCAAGGGACGTTTCACTCGCATTTTAACTGGCTTGCTTGAATATCCCTAGAGCAAACAATTGGAGACACAGCATTGAGGTGTAGCGTCTTTGACCGTGGTGATGGTGGTGGTGGTGCTGGTCGTAGTGGTACTGGTGGTGGGGTTGGCAGTGATTTTGGAGGTGGCGGTGGCGACGGTGCTGGTGGTAGTGTTAGAGATCCTCATTTATTAAAGTGGAGCCTTTGTTCATTGAACAGAGCTTTCATATCAAGGAAGCGAAATGTGTTTTCATTGGTTTGAGGGAAAGATGCAAACGGGAAAAGTCTGTGTGTTTGCGTTGGTTTACCAATGAAAACTCACCATTTTGTGTTTACATATTTTCTCATTAACTTTTCTTTGCAGGGACCTCACGAATAACCAGCTCACCACCCTACCCTATTACACCGCTTTCCAGTTTGTCAGTCAGCTGTGAGTAATGCTAGTCACATGCTCATGCATTATTGCCTTTTGAAGTTTTGAGTGTGTTGCATAACACACCATATGATCAATAATCACACCCACTCACTTGTGAAAACCACTAACAATTTTACCAGCAGCCCCCATCCCTGTGGAGCCATTATCTACCTGGGAGCGTTATACCTCGGACACAGCTTCTGGAAGGTTTGAGCTGTTCATCGAAGATGAGCGTGCTTTACATGAAAAACGGCACTTTTCGCGCATGAAATGTTTTTGATTTACAGTACTGCATGCTCGCGAAGATCATTGATTAGCCGTCTGCATGGTGGCGGTCAGGTGACATGGGATAAAAGATGCTCCTGTTCCACATGCTTTTTGCTGACCGGGTTCCATTGTATGTGCGTATCTGCTCTCTTCCCACTAGCACTCTAACTGGCAATCCTCTGAACTGCTACTGTTCATCACGGTCACTACTCTTGCCCTACGTCAGCAAGTACAGCAGCAGAGGTTTGAAGGACAGCATCTGCTATCAGCCAGCGTCTCAGCGAGGAAATGTCCTGGTGACGGCAGTTTCAAGAAACTTGATCTGCTGTGAGTTGCAGGGTTTAACCACTTGACTGGTTGAGCAATTTCACTGTGTTTTCGTTATTTACGTTGCAGAATATCCAAAGTTTGGTCAAGCATAACTATGCATTTTGTGCTTCCAGTGGCCTACCTAGAAGTAGTGGTTTGGGATGGCTTGTCGCCGCTTGGTTAATGTTTGTATCGCTGGTTTGTTTGCATGTTCTTTGCAGATTGTGGTGACCCAGGAACACCAAGTGGTGCTAGCCGGTCTGTGTCTGGCAGCTTCTACTACTCTGCAAGTGTTTCCTACACGTGCAAGACTGGGTATCGATGGAATGGTGGCTCAACACGAAGGTCGTGCCAGGATAATGCAGAATGGAGCGGCTCTGCTATCGTCTGCCTCCGTAAGCTATTTAGCATGATAAAAGAGCCCTTGCGACGGGTTGCCACGGATATGACTCAGTGCTACGCATTCATGCAGCACAGTGTTCAAGGTGACATAACGAATTTGATCACTCTCCCGGGCTCAAGTGTTGACATTCTAGTCTTACAAGTGCAATCAATACTATTGTCCCCTCGTCGCTAATTCACTCTAGTCTTAATCGAAGATTTTTTAAATCAATAATCTGTTCCAGCGGTGCCAGCAAAACTGTTTTCTTATTTTTATTTCCGTTTTGTCTTACAGTGGTTAACTGTGGCGATCCAGGTTGGCCCAGCTCCGGATTAAGGTTTGGATTATTCTTCAACTACGGCAATGTCGTCACGTTCTCCTGCCTTGTTGGCTATACACTGGACGGAGCATCGGAAATCGATTGCTTTTCGTCGGGGAAGTGGAGCGCAACCACGCCAAAGTGCACGCTGACATCATGTCCCAAGCTGACGCTAGAACCGTACGTCATTGCTTCCAGCCTGGACAAGAGAGGCGTGGGCACCACCGTGTATTTTGCCTGTCCGACTGGCTTCACGCGGTACGGGAGCTGGTCAATCAATTGCTTGTTCGGCGGTAAGTGGAGTGCGTCCGTGCCGAAATGCACGCCGGTAGTGTGCAGCTTGCCCAGTATTGACGACGTCACCGTTCTGGTGTCCGTCAATCGTACCTACACTGGACGACTTGTGGTGACTTGCAAGATTGGATATGCTCGCGGTGGTGGTGGTGATGTCGTGCGCACCTGCCTCAGCTCTGCAAAGTGGTCAGGAACGGGATTGTCTTGCAAAGGTACGTACGAAGGCACACATGGTTTTGCTCATGATTGCTATTGTTATCATTTTCACAGTTGGCTTGCCTCTGCAGCTGTTGCTGCTGTCGATGTCACAATCATCTTCTTAACTTGTTTCTGTATTACTAATCAAGTTTGATGGATCCTCGAATCAGTATTTTCCAGTGCATTAGGGTACTGAGCACTATGGTGTGGATGGTTTTGCCTTCGGCTTCTCTCTCTCTCTCTCTCTCTCTCTCTCTCTCTCTCTCTCTCTCTCTCTCTCTCTCCCCCTCCCAAATTATATGTTTTCGATGACGGCATCTCCTTGATCATGCTTCTCCTTGTTTGCTGTCATCTTTTGTTGGCTATGTGCAGCTGTATCCTGCGGTGATCCTGGCTCAGGACCATATCTCTCACGCAGTGGTACAGATTTCACCTACAGCAAATCTGTGTCATATTCTTGTCCCAAGGGGTTTTCCCTTGAAGGTGCTCACCTCTTAGTATGCAAGTATGATGGCAAGTGGAGTGGCAATCCACCAGTGTGCACACCCGTGAAGTGCTCCACGATGCCCAAGCTACCAGTGAGCGCCCACATTGTCTCCACTAATGCTACGTACCTTGGCAAGGTGATGGCCAGCTGTGACAAGGGGTTCACCTTCGCTGCACTGGGCGTGTCGCCAATGCAAATTTCCTCTACATGCTTGGAGACTGGCAAGTTTACAGACTTCTCATTCTTGTGCAAAGGTCAGTGCCTCTAAAGTGTTTGCTCTGTGGAGTATATTGCTTGTCTTGTTGACTATGTCAATTATTGATTCTATAAGAAACATGGCTAGCTGGATTCAGGATCCAGCTCAGGGAAGGATATGTGCCCCCCCCCCCCCTCGCCACCAAAATAATGCACCGATTCTAGACCTGAAACAACGAACACTGAACACAATATGGACTGCACATTGCGTTGTATTGTCATGTCATGCGAAGGGGAAACTTCCCTCCTTGTGCTTGCCTGTATTAGTCCCTACCTTGTGTGGGCATGCCCCATGGAAGACTAGTGTATTGAAGGGTTTGCCATGCCATGTATCTGTATCTGTATCTGTGTGGAATTCTCTCCCTCAGATTTCACAACTGCTATTTACTTGTACGCAGCAGTCTGTAGTAGTAACCTAAGAGCGTGCTCAACGTATTTAAACAGGTGTGTAGTTGTGATGGCCGCCGTGTTGTGTTGTTTGCGTAATTGCAGTTGTGACATGTGGTCTTCCCGTGCCACTTGCTAACGCCGCTTACACGCTCACCTCAGTGACATACAGGGGTTCAGCCACCTACCGTTGCCTGTCTGGTTACCGCAGTTCTGGCGGCATGACTGTCTACTGCTCTGACGATGGCAAGTGGACTAATGTGCTGGGAAAATGTACCGTTGTAGAGTGTCCAGTGCTCACCTTGTCTACGGGCTTACTTATCAGCACTCTCCTGAGGATGTACGGCACTACCATCTATGTAAACTGTATGGCTGGGTACTATCTGAGTGGCCGCACCGTGTTCAGTGGCATCTCCTATGTCAAGGTGCACTGCTTGGCGGACGGTACCTGGGATGATCCACTGCCAGCATGCAAGTCTGTTCACTGCTCACCCCTGCGCCAGGTGACTTGGGCTCAGCAAACGTCCACCGACACTGTCTACAATACCGTCACTCAGTACACGTGTGCACGCGGTTTCCAACTGTATGGGTCGTCCCTGCTGCGCTGCTTGTCGACGGGCAAGTGGAGCGCGTCCACTCCGGTCTGCCATCCCGTTACATGTTCCATGGCAGCGCTCACCTATCCCAAACACTCTCTTCTGACCAGCAGCAATGCTTCATACCTCGGATTAGCCGTGTTTAGTTGCAAGGCAGGATTCTCGGCGGAAGCCAGGCTTGTCAAGATCTGTCAGAGCGATCGACAGTGGTCATCACTGAAACATGACTGCAAAGGTATGTGATATTGTACTCTTTTGCTCTATTATATGCACAGTACTTGTACTTCTTCAACTATCCTCTGCTCCAAGCTTAGGGTTAAACCATGCCACCGTATGGGTCTATCTCTATCTCTGTGTATTGCTCAGTACGGTGATTGTAGTGACTGTGCCGTATAGTTGTGTATGGCTGTCCCGCCTTGAACTCTGTTTTCATCTCTCTCTCTCCCTCTTTCTCTCTCTCTCTCTCTCTCTCTCTCTCTCTCTCTCCCTCTCTCTCCCTCCCTCCGTCCCTCCGTCCCTCCCTCCGTCCCTCCCTCCCTCCCTCCCTCCGTCCCTCCTTCCCTCCCTCCCTCCCTCCTCTCTCTCTCTCTCTCTCTCTCTCTCTCTCTCTCTCTCTCTCTCTCTCTCTCTCTCTCTTTCTCCCCTGTTTCCTCTATACTTCAGATGTGGATGAGTGTACTACCGGCACACACAAGTGTAGTGTGCATACTGAATGCAGTAATACCGCTGGCAGCTATATTTGCACCTGTACAGCTGGATTCACTGGCTCTGGATTTGCTTGCTCTGGTGAGACTCATTGGTTTCCATCCTACATATACTTGGAGCATCTTCTCTCTTGTGTGATGGTGCATTTTGAATGCATGTTTTGTTTGACATGGTTGTACACCTAAAGTTTGTTACATTCCGAAGCCTTTCTTGAATTCGTTGTGTGTGTGTACCCGCATCATTTGCATGTACTGCCAAAACTTGTTCCATCGCAGTCAAGATGTTCAGGAGAACACCAGGCGCCAAGGCATAGTGGCAGGTACCACAATTCCTCTGCTATTTTTAACCGGCCAGCCACAGGACAGTGCGCCGCAGGAAAACTAATCTGTTTTTAGGTGTGTCTCTGTACGTAGGGTGTGTGCACATGGGGCTCTCAAAAACATAAGAGATTCTTGCAGGACAAGAAGATGAGAGGAGAGTAGCCGAGCAGTTCTTGCTTGCCAAAAATCCAGAAACAGATATTTAAAAGGACTAGGGAAAGGTTTTTAAAGGTTGTGGGCAAGTGAGTGATTGTATGTATGTGGTCAGCCACAGAGCGCAATGGCGGTGGCAAATGTCAGCGTAGAAACTATCAACGGCCGAATGTTGCTGCTTACCCTCTGGTTAGATTTAAACGGAGTGCGAACAAAGCACTTCAAAATGGGATCGATGACTATCCCTTATAATATGCTCTCGTTGAAATGGGCAGTGCAGATGCACAAGCTGAGCCAGAAGAACACTGTGGCTTTATGTAGTTCACATGCAAAGCGACTCGGCTTGCTCAGGTCATTAGCTCAGCATGTTTGGTGGTGAAGAGAAACCTTGCCAGTTTGCATGGCTTTGCTGCAGTTTGTCGTGGTGGTAGTTGCTGTATGGGTCATCTATCTATTTTTTCTTTCTTGCTGCGAGCAGCTGCGACATCTCGTGAGTGGGTACTGTAAGACATGTATAATTATATAACGAGGAAGTAAATCTAACGTTTTAACGGATGACATTTCTTCGTTATAATAAGAGCCGTTGAGGCCGTACTGCTTCATATATGTTGTGTGTGGATATGCCGGAATACTGCAAGATCGTTAACATATCTTCTCGTTAACCTATGAATTTTGGACAATCGTTAAATTTGCGACTCGTTATAATAATAACATGTCTTACAGTAGATATGCGATAACTGTTTCCCTCATTGTTTATGCTCTTCAGCTGGGCGTACCATGTCTCGTTTTTGCTCCTGGCATTATTCTTTCTGGTCAGGAAAATAGAGGGCATGCAATGGTCTTGGCAAGTTTAATATTGCGCCAAGTGTTTTCCTCTTACTGCTCGTCAGCTCTCTCGCGAACTTCTGTCCAGCAGTTATAGGCAGGCAGATGTGCTAGAAGAAGAGAAGTGTGTCATTATTGTATATGGAGAGCACCGTACACAGCCACGGGACCTGTAACCCGTTCAGTTTCTTGAGTCTAGATACTGATAGGTGCTTTTCTCGTACTACTGACGGTTCTATTGAGTTTTGTGAAATCTGTCTGTGTTCTCCCTGTACCAGAGGTTGACTGCGGAGTACTGACGACACCAGTGCACGGAACATTGTCAGCCATTGGCTGGACGTACGGCAAAGCAGCAGCATACAGTTGCAATACGGGGTTTGTACTGAGTGGTTCGCCATCAGTTCGGTGTCTTGAAGATGGCAAATGGAGTACCCCATCACCAGTATGTCATCCTGTCCAATGTCCTGGTCTCAAGGAACCAGCTCATTCACATCTGAGTAGTACTAATAGAACATACACAAGTGTAGTGAAGTCAAGTTGCTCCATTGGTTATCAAACAATCACTGGTGATGATGTACGGAAAATCCAATGTTTATCAACAGGTGTGTGGAGTGGTCAACTAACAGACTGTGAAATTGTAGAATGTCCAGTTCTTCTGGTTCCGGCATCAGTTGTGGAAGTGCAACGTGATGAGAAGTATGGTGGTTTACTGATTTGGAAATGTGCGAACGGTTTTGTGTATGGTTCTGGCACCGAGCAACGGAAATGTGGTGCAGATGGTGAATGGAGTGGATCAGCATTGCAATGCACAGGTATGTAATGATGAGAATGATGATAATGGTCACGACAAGTCACATCCTGTGCTTTTCTATGAATTTGAAGTTCCTATACCTGGATCAGTGCAAATATCTGTTGATCAACGGCATTATTGCATGTCTTAGTACCTGTCTATATTGTGCATATTTTTCATATGTGTGTGCATCTCTGTCTGTCTACTTTTCTATGTGTGTTGTTTGTTTGTTTGTTTGTTGTCGTTGCTATAGATACGAATGAGTGTTTGGAAAGGTCACATGACTGTAGCAAGTATGCACTATGCCATAACAAACTGGGAGCACATGATTGTATTTGTATGAGAGGTTATGATGGTGATGGGAAAGTCTGCAAAGGTAAGCCAAGTGGTGCTTTTGTCTTACACGATGTACATGTACCTAGGATGAAGGCATTTGATAGAGCTATGGCATCCAGACCAGCCAAATGGAAACCATTATCATTGCAGACTAGGTACAGTGCTAGGCCGGAGTTGTGAATGAACTCAGCTACTAAGAAAGAAATTTTGGTAAAGTCGTCCCACCACGTAAGGTGGATGTATATGGTATTTAATTATGTTCCTTGCTTAGCATATTACAAACCACAATGTAGCAGAGAACACAATTACTAGTACACATGAAATGATCTTGCTGGCAAGATTCCGCTTGACTTTGTGGTGCACCCATGCATTGTACTGGAACGTTCTTGTCTACAATGTGTTTGTGTTGTTCAGCCAAATCCTGTGGGCACCCTGGACATACTGCATACAGTGTAATGTCTGGTACAGACTATACATACAGTAAGACAGTGAAGTACATGTGTAGCCGTGGTTACGTGATGCGTGGTCATGGTTACTTGACGTGCCAGGCGGATGGTACATGGAATGGGTCCTTACCAGTTTGTCACCGTATGCAGTGTCCTGACTTAGCTCCATCATCATGGTCACATGTCAATAGTTCTAACTTCACCTATGGCAGTGTAGTGAGATTTAGTTGTGATGAAGGATTCACACTATTGGGATTATCCAGTATGTTACAGTGTCTGTGGAATGGTAAATGGAGCAATGCACCACCAACATGTAAACCAGTTGAATGTAATGATCCTATTGCTGCTACAAACATGCTGGTGGTTAGTGTGAATGTTACATTTGGCGGTTACGCAATGTTCCGCTGTCAATCTGGATATGCTGCTAGTAGTGGGCAGAAACTTGTCAGTCAGTGTTTTTGGAACAAGACCTGGTCTTTGAATGCCGGTCTTTGCTTGGGTAAGTGACTAAAGATAGTTTGTGATTTAGCCTCTAGAGAGTGAGCAGGTGTGAGGTGAGGTTTTCTGATATTGAACAATGTACATGTATATAAATTCGACGGGGTTCGCGTACCGGGCAGGTCAAGAACAAGGAGTCGTACAACTCCCTGGTCAAGAACCACCTTTCCGCTTCCGTGGGACGCCACCACCCCATGATCAGGCGTCAGATGCGGCTCCTAAACGGTGGGGGAGGATAGATCAGATCCACCAACCAGAGGCCAAAGGCCTCGATCCCATTTGCCACATCCATGTATTACTCATGCCAGGCCACGAGTTCCCAATTAACTGTGGGTCGCAGCACAGTTGGAAAAAATCCTTCCGCTTCCAAGCATGTACAGTCGTCCCTCTCTAATCCGGCACCTTTTGCTACGGCGTTTGCTGCTGGATTAACGAGGGTGCTGGATTAAGAAATCCTGCCCTCTGACCCGGCCCTACCCAATTGCATGCATGTATCATATGTACGTCAAAACGCAGGGTTTTTCCGTGTCGACCCAAGTATTTGGTGCACGGCTTTATATTCTCAATTGTTCTCCGGGGATATACACAGTGATAAAGTGATAAAGTAAAACAGAGAACATGTTCACATGTACTCTTGCACACACACGCACACACACACACACACACACCTGAAAATTGGCAGGACACTACTCCTTGCTAAAAATAGTAAAATAAGAAAGTATGGTTGACTGCCGTTGTCTCCTGGACAACATTGACCAGACTGGCCTAGCCTGAAGTGCACCTGTGCGGTACGCGATTTACGACTGCCGGATTATGAAATCAAACTACGTGCAATTTGAGCGATTCGTTTCAAAAAGTCACTGCCGGAGGCGGAATTCAAGTGCCGGATTAAGATGTAGGAATTGAACGAAAAAAATCGGTTTCGTCAGAAAGTGCGCCGGTTGGCAAGGGTTCCGGATAAACAAGTGCCGGATTAGAGAGGGACGACTGTATATAGATTTCCTTAAACCACAGCTGTGTGGTCCTTCAGCAGTATCATTTGTTGTGTGTGTTTCAAACAACAGCTGTGTGGTTGATCTGCAGTTTCACTGGTTGTGTGTATGTGTGCTATGAGCAGATGTTGATGAATGTGAGAAGTCTTTACATGGTTGTAGCATCAATGCACGTTGTGTGAATCAAGAGCCATCATACACATGTACCTGTCATGCTGGATATAGAGGAGATGGTCACCAGTGTTCCAGTAAGTCAACAGTGTACAACCATTGTGTTGTGAACGCACACCAGCAGTCAGTATGTCTTTTCTCTTGGGGGGGGGGGGGGAGTGTTGGAAGTATTCGAAGAAACTGGCCACTTCAAAGATAAAGCTATGTTCACATTAAGCTGTGAATACATTGTTGTCTAGAGCAGCAGGAGTACTCATGCATCCACTAATCGGTAGGTGTTTGGTGTGGCATGGGCATGCAAAACGGAGGAGAACAGTTGTATCAGAGTGATGAATTGAAGAATGTATGCACTAACCTCACCAACACGGTAAAGAAGTTTACGTCCAAGAATGTTTCTTATCAGAAATGTGCAGTATTTCCTGTTCCATTCATACACAACCAGTGCTGCTGTTTATGTTTTCCTTCTGTCTTCTCCAGTCATTGAATGCAGTAAACCTGAAGCACTAGCACATGGCTCAGTACAGGGAAGCAGTTTTGTGTATCGCAGCAATGTGAAATACAGCTGTATGGACGGGTTTGAACTAGTGGGAAATCTGGAATCTTGGTGCCTGGCTTCGGGACAGTGGAGTTCTTCAACACCAACATGCTCTCCGGTCCAGTGTTCCCGTCTTGTAGCTACACGTCATAGCTCTCTGAACACTACTAACCATACATACAGTAGTGTAGTGGAGGTTCTATGTGATCTGGGATATACACTACCATCATCATCATCATCACCTGTGTCCTCAGTATCATCAACTACTGTATGCCTGTCCAGTGGTGTATGGAGCAGAACATTGGCAAAGTGTCAAGTTATTGAATGTGCAGGAATTGTTCCAGCTTCGTCAGTGCAACAAGTCAGCATTGTGAAGACCTACGGTGGTAATGCTGTGTGGAAGTGTGCATCTGGATTTGTGAAAACCAGTGGAAATGAGATACGGAGTTGCCAAGCAGGTGGAACATGGTCGGGAACTGAACTAGCATGTAGAGGTAAGGAGATAGTCACTAGGAGATTGGAATCATCATGTTTTGAAATTCATGGTATGTTGAAAGAGGAGTCAATTTACTGGGTGAAGCGTGATAATTCTATACATTTCTGTGCAGTATAACCCACCGATCTGTCAGTAAAAACATACCGTATTTCCCCGAATACAAGTCGCACCTTTTTACACTTAGCTTCAGGGTGAACCAAGGGGGTACGACTTATAATCGAGCATGACTTACTACTGAGAGAATATATCAAAAAGATAATGACATGGACCTGGAAATGGGGGTGCAACTTACAATCGAGTGCGACCTATAATCGGGGAAATACGGTAATGGTCCGTTTTTTATCATAATATCATTTAACGCATGCTCCGTACGCGGAGGCATACACGACCCACACACAGACACAGCAGTAGTTGGTTGGCACCACAGGGTAACTGGGCGAAGGAGCTGGCAGTGTGTAACCATGGAGGCGGCCGACCCGACAGAGGCGGGGACCGAGAGTGAGACCGAAATGGCGGCTGACCTGCCAAGGGCAGTAACCGAATAGAGTGATTCGGAGTGAGACCGAAATGGCGGCTGACCTGCCAAGGGCAGTAACCGAATAGAGTGATTCGGGAGAGTAGAGAGAATGCTGCCAGCTACTGAGAGTTCAGTGCCCAATCCCTGCTTGTTTTTGTTTAGCAGAGTGAGTTTGGAAGACGAATGAGGTTAGTAGTATAAGCGGGGTGCTACAGAATGAGAATTGTAACACAATGAAGTCGGTGTGGGTGGGTGGGTGAAAACACGGAGCAAGAGTCATGCGAGCCAATGCAACTAACAAAGAGAGCCAGGCACGAAGGCTGCTGAAGGGTGTACGTATGCAAAGCGAGCTGCTGGGAGAGTTTGCGCATGCGCACAACGGCGCATCCGTGAGCTGGCGCGAACACGCGCGTGATAGACATCAGCATACAGTGAAAACATTACGTCACCGCGTTAACATACTTTAGCTACGCAAAACTTGCATTAACGCATGCTCCGTACGCGGAGGCATACACGACCCACACACAGACACAGCAGTAGTTGGTTGGCACCACAGGGTAACTGGGCGAAGGAGCTGGCAGTGTGTAACCATGGAGGCGGCCGACCCGACAGAGGCGGGGACCGAGAGTGAGACCGAAATGGCGGCTGACCTGCCAAGGGCAGTAACCGAATAGAGTGATTCGGAGTGAGACCGAAATGGCGGCTGACCTGCCAAGGGCAGTAACCGAATAGAGTGATTCGGGAGAGTAGAGAGAATGCTGCCAGCTACTGAGAGTTCAGTGCCCAAGCTAGTTACCCTGGTGGGCCAACCAAATAAGTCAGTGCTCAGAAATAACGCGAGCATTGAACGAGGAGTATAGCAGGAGCTGCTAGCAGTCAAGAAATCTAGGTACCGATAGCGGTACTGAGAGTTGGTATGTATACCAGAGGAGACATTCGTCAAGGTGCAGCGCTACTGGTCAGTCACTCACTGTGGCTAGCTTCTCTGATACTAGCCGCACCTCGGATGGCTCAACACGGATATAGCGCAGCACGGCGTCGCTGCGCCATCGCCCCATATGGCGGATCACGTGCTCTGGTACGCCTGCGATAGCTGCAGACGTGGCTGCTCCGATCCGGAATGAGTGGCTAGCATAGCTGGACGGATCTGTAATCCCACAAAGCGGTAGGAGGGTCCGCACCTCCCTCGTGACGTCCGCTCGTGTCAGAGGCTGGCCATTGTGGTAGACGAGCAGCTGATCTCTAGGAGATTGGGACTCTGCCGGCACTGCCGTCAGGTACCGCACCATCGCCGTAACCGGGCAGCTGATGACATCGGTACAGCCGCCCACGTGGACTACCGTGCCCCTACCGTCCGGATCCGTCTTTGATTGCAGCAGCGTGATGGTGATACGAAATGATTGTTGGTCCAGGGCCACGTTGCCAAACGTCAACGAGGTGAGCTCACACCACAGCGCAGGAAGCCATAAAAGGCCAGGGTGAAGGCGCACTGCAGCATTGCCTGGTCAACTGAGTGCCGCATGGAGGAAACTTGGAGGCGTTGGCAGAGTTGCCGGAGGATGGGTGTTGTGATAGGCAAACGAGGGCGGCCAGGTCCCGACGAACGGGCTATGCCTCTTAACACTCGTGACAGCAGGGACGTCGGCTGATTCGGGTACTCGAGGCCAATTTCGACATGTAAGTTCCAGATGGCTGACATATATGTGCGAACCGAGGCCGGCCGCAGTGTGCGCATGAGGAGGGCTGCGTAGTAGCACAGTGGAACGTCGCTTCCAGGCAGGGCCACAACGCCATGCTGCTGACAGAAATCCAGGTACCGCCGCTCTGAAGCTGAGTATGTCCTCCTGGATGACGGTGCTATTGCCAGAGAGAACCTTGTGCTTTGGAAGGTTGCTTGTTGCACGGTCAAGGTCGTACAGGCGCCTCAGGAAGGTACGACCGACAGGAATAGCCCGGGCCGCGAACGAGAGATTGCCCAACACGGAGGCGAGTTCGCGCCGGGACGCCATGCCTGATTGAAGGAGGCCGTTGACTTTGCCGAGATACGCCCCATGTTTGGCGGACGGTAACCGGATCTCAAACGTCAGCGAATCCAGCTCCAGGCCGAGGAAGGTGAGACATGTGGATGGGCCTTCGACTTTCTCAGAGGCCACCGGTATCTGCAAATAGCGGAGCATGTCTAAGATATGTGAGCGATGATGTTACGCAACGGGCAGGTGGGGCGGACTAACGTTCAGAAAGTCGTCCAGGTAGGGGAGTAATTGGCTTAGGTGGCATGCATCCTCGAGAATAAACTGGACTGCTGTGGCGAATTTATCGAATATGTATGGTGCAGAACGCAATCCAAATGGTAGCACTTTGTCATGATAGAATTGTCCCTGCCAGAAGATGCCCAGAAAAGGCCAGTCACAGGGGGCAACAGGACAGAGACGGAATGCATTCCTGTCGACCTTCGTCAAAAGAGCGCCACACCCTGCCTGCATGATCAGAGAGATAGCTGTATCGACAGTTTCGTACTGCAGGCTGAATTCATCCCGAGATATACCGTCATTCACACTCGAGCCGGCAGGGGGCGAGAGGTCGTGGATGATACGCAGTTTGCCATCAGACTTCGGGATAGCACCCAAACCAGAAATATGCATGTGAGGGAATGGCGGAGATGCAAATGGGCCCGCAGTTTCTCCGCGGTCACAACAGTTAAGCAGATGAGTAGTAACCTCAGCAGGGCAAGCACAAGCCGAAGAGTGATTAGGAGACATAACAGAAGATGCAATGGGGCGAAAGCTGCCAATACGAAAGCCATACTGCATGCCTTGTGAACCATAAGAGCGAAATACTGCATTTGGATGAGGAGAGGGAAGATTGATAAAGCGCTGAACATGAACAGGCGTGCTAGTGGGCACCTGTAAAGCAGCGTCACCACTGGGGTGAGAGTTATTTCTTGGTCGAGTCACCAGACTTGGAGCATTGGCGTGCGGGGTGACGGCCGCGGCACTGGATGCAGACGTGTGCTCTGGAGCAGGGGGAGAGCAAGCAGCTGCCGAAGTTGAAATTACGACAGATGGCTTTGCCGTCAAAGCCAGGCTGGTGCGAGAACTGGCTCCCCGTAGGCGCTGTTGGGGCTGGGAGCCCCCCACGAAAGGGGCAGCTGCTGGGCTGACTTGGATGGACCATGGAGCAACGCTGGCACGGAGGCCGCCCACGGCCCGTGAGACAAGACTGCCACAGGTTCGGGTCAATGACGGACCAGGAATAGCGGTGAGGGAGGGACGCCGTGGCCATACGGAATTTGCGGTCGTAGGACAGCCAGGCATCATTGTGGAACCGGACGTTGGCATCGACAATGATGGCCTGATACGCCCAGAGATCACCTGCCAGCTGTGGTGAGGCGTCGGCCAGCACCCTCGAGTATGTGGTGAACGCTTCCACCCATGTGGCAAGATCATAGATGTGTCGTTTGGCGGGTTGCCGGTGGGAAGATTTGGGGACGAGCTGCACAGATCGGCCCGCGCCCACGTCGAGTTGCATCACATCATGATCCCCCTCGAAGCCCAGGGATTCAGGCAGCAAATCGCTTAATTCTGTGAACTCACCTCGCACAATCCGGTCTCGAAGGCGAGGCGGCACCACGGGGAGGTCTCCAGATGACGGCCACTGTTGTGTCGGGTGGCTGGCGGCCGGTACTGATACTGGTAAAACCGGCGCTGCAGTGGGGATTGATCCGGCAGCACAAAGCGAGGCCCCGCTGAACGTCGGAACATGAGCGAGTCCCGAGTTTACGCCAGTTCCTGGGCCGGCGAGTTGGGCTGCGCCAGCCTGCTCCAGCAGGGTAACCTTGTCGGCCAGAGGCTGAATAGCAACAGCCACGGCGGCGGAGATCTGGCTCGCCAGCGTGGGCTGGGGTGGGTGGCCGGCATTGACTGAGACGGAGGCACTTGGCCAGGTAGAGCCGAAGCACGAGGAGCACGAGGCGGCGCGAGGTTCTGGGCCGGGGCTCTGGCCTGGGTGGTTCCAGGAGCAGGGGAGGATGTTGCTCTAGCGTAGGGGCTAGAAGATGACCTGGCGGACCTGCGCGACATCTCTTGCCTCAGCGTGGGAAAATTTGAGAAAATTTGAGTAAACCACTCCGCGGATACAGCACTCAGAATTCCAGCCCGCCCAGGGGCTGGACACCACAACTAGGCAACAAGAGACCGAAACGACGATGTCACCTTGTACAAGGAAGTCTGAACAGAACTGAAGAACTCCGGAGTTTGAAAACACGGAGCAAGAGTCATGCGAGCCAATGCAACTAACAAAGAGAGCCAGGCACGAAGGCTGCTGAAGGGTGTACGTATGCAAAGCGAGCTGCTGGGAGAGTTTGCGCATGCGCACAACGGCGCATCCATGAGCTGGCGCGAACACGCGCGTGATAGACATCAGCATACAGTGAAAACATTACGTCACCGCGTTAACATACTTTAGCTACGCAAAACTTGCACTCTTGTCATTTTTTGGTGTGTTATATTTAGACTTGGATGAATGCAGTGGAAAGTCACATGACTGTAGTGTATATGCTCGCTGTCATAACAGCCATGGTTCTCATTACTGCAAGTGTTGGCATGGTTACGGCGGTGATGGGAAGCTGTGTACAGGTAAGAAAATATTGTATTTTTATCACTGAAACAAGTTGTAATTATGTGTCCTATAATAGTTGCCACCATTCCTTCCTTTTCTGGGTGTTGAAAATCTCGATCTCGTTCCGGTTCTGGTTTCAAATGTTTGATTCCCTAGTTTCACACAACTCATCTTCTTCTTGTTGCTACAGCAATATCATGTGAAGATCCCGGTATTCCTCAGTACTGCAGTCGTATTGGCTGGAACTTCACCTTTTCCCGATCACTGCAGTATGAGTGTAAACGAGGATTCCTGATGACTTCTGGATCAGCACACTTGTCATGTCAGGCTGATGGTCAGTGGAATGGCACTTTACCGACGTGTCGTCCGGTACTGTGTCCAGAACTGAGAACACCAGCTTGGTCAAAACGTAACAGCTCCAACTTTACCTATTCCAGTGTGGTGATGTTTGGATGTGCTGGTGGATTTGAGCTTGTTGGTTCAGCTGAGCTTGACTGCCTGTGGACTGGAGAATGGAGTAACTCTCCACCGAAATGTCAGGCAATGAAATGTGGCAGTGTTAGCATCGCGAATGCCGGCATAGTTATGGTGAATGATTCGTTCTCTGGCCATGCTGTTTTCAAGTGTGATATTGGATACTCTAGCCATGGTCTAAATATCACTTTACAATGCCTTTCAAGTGGACATTGGTCATCATCATCTGACTCCTGTGTTGGTGAGTGCAATGGTGCTATAGATAATTAAACCGCTCAGGCTCCAACTGAACAATGCATGGCCACTGATGTGTGCATACTTTCCAATTGCACTTCACAGTATTGAAGATAATTAACATAATTCCTAGATACTTCATGGGCAACTAACTTCTGCTAGCTGGACTAGCTACGATAGTGGGTGTGTTCGATTTAGTGTGTTCGAATTTGTGCATCATGTTTCTGCCTTGTATTAGTGCAGTAGTGCATTTGTAGTTTACTTATTTGTTGCTATTTTGTGCACTGTCTCAGTGGCTGGTTCTTTGTATCATAAGCATGAGTGCGCGTCTGCCGCTAGGCTAGTTGTCTGTTTCATGAATGCACTTGCGGTCGTTGTTGGCTGATCACTACACCATTGTCTCACATGTATCATCGTTCTAGCTGCGTGCTCCCGTACCTGTGAGTACGGTGTTCTTTTGGTTCTATATTCGTGATTTGCATTTTTTGTTTTGGTTCAGATGTGTTTACGATGTTTTTCAGATGAGTTTGGAAACGGTTGTGTTGAACTCTAAGCTGGTGTTTTTGAGCTAGTGCTTGTTGTCCGAAGATGGAATATTGAATACAGTCTGATTGGAGAAGTCATTGATTTGTTCAGTAACATATGGTCCTTCGAGCCGGATTGACATGGCTGCGCCAAGAAGAAGTACGCGATCCAACCAAGGTGTCTTGCCTGTACGGTTTCAGGACGAGGGAAATGAACCCGCAAGTCGTCTGAGCCCAGGAAGCCTGTCGGACGTGGACTCCGTGTCTGAAAGCAGTGTGTCAACCAGAGCCAGTGTTGTTGGCAGTAGTATCAGCTCGTCTGCGTCGTCGTTGCGACGAGCAAGTGTTGTACAGGCAGAGCTGAGAATGGCTCGCATGGAGCGAGCCTTCTTGGAGCAAAAAATGGAGCAAGAGAGAAGGATATTTCGTCTGGAAATGGAGGCTGCGCAGGTCTCTCTCTCATCGACATCGCAGTCGAGCTCACCAGACGATGAAAGTTCGGGATTGACATTCAAAACATGTGTCACCGGGCTTCCCAAGCAACCTCAAGCTCCGCTGGATAGTGCAGCTATGGCAGCTGTTGAACTACAGGGGAGTGATGTGCTAGTAGAGCAGCACGTAGAGGAAGAAGTGCTTGTCGTTGAAGAACATGCAGCCAACAGAGCTGATGAAGTGAAAAGCGACGAGAAAAAAGTAGTTGTTGAAAGCCGTGTGCAGTCACTGCAGTGTGCTCAAGATCCGAGTTCCGCTGTGTTGCACAAGGGGGACAGGGAACATGTTCGTGATCCAGCTGAGACCAGTGCAAGTCGGAGTGCAGACAAGAGCACGGAGCTGACCACAGGAGTGACAGGTTCAAGTGTCCGTGACAGCAGGCATGCACCCAACACTGTGCAAGCTGCATTCAAGTCTAGGTCCAAGCCTGCCAGCTCACACAAACCTGTACGGGAGGCTGCCGCTGCACGTGGTGCATACTTTGAGACTCCTACTGCTAGGGCTGCTGATCCCAGACTGCAGGCTCCTTCTGCCAACCAGTGTGCCAGTGCTAGGAGAGTGCAACACTGGGTTGACAGAGTGCAGGTACCAGTACCAGCAGGAATAAATCAACATCAGGTCAAGCCTCTGGAGTTGCCCAGATTTGATGGCATGCAGAGGAGCTACGTAAGATGGCGCCAGAGATTTATGAGACTGGTGGATGATGACTACTCCGTGTCCGAGGATTATAAGATGGCTCGCTTACGAGAGGCGCTAGATGGTGGCAAGGCCGAGGAACTGATATGCGAGGTGCTGGATGGGCCTGGTGCATATAGAGCGGCCTTGGAGGAGTTGGAAGCTTGGTACGGAAGCAGTGAGCGCGAGCTAGAACGTCAGCAGACGGAACTCATGAGTCTGCCCAGAATTGTCATGGAGAAAGACACTGAGTCGCTGCAAAAGCTCGCTGTCAAGCTCCGCAATGTCATTGTGAACATGTCAACTGCTGGAATGCAGCCAGGCAGGGAGCTGTATATAGCGGTCACACAGAAGTTGCCACGTGGCATGCTGTCACGCTACATGGATTGCCATGACGACAACAGGAGCAATGCCCAGGAGTTGTCACAATGGCTGATGAGACGGGTGAATCAGTCGAGGCACGTTGATGCACGCCTCTCAACTGGCGGTGATCAGCAGCCAGCTCAAAGAGAGCAGCGCAAGCACAGGGTCTTGGTGTCGAACGCCAGTCAGGCAGCCGAGCCGACGGAGCCTGAACCATCAAGAGCTGCCTATGCTCAGCCCAGAACCGCAGCTTCTGACAGGAGGACGTGCCCGAAGTGTCGAGGCAGCCATGCTCTTGCAGATTGCTCCAACTTCCTGACCCTTGGCGTCCAGAAGAGATGGGACCTGGCGAAGCTGGTGGGGCTATGTTTGCGATGCCTGCAGCCTGGTCATTTTGCGAAGGAGTGCAAGAGCGCCGGATGCAAGAAGTGCCCAGGTGGCCATCACAGTCTGCTGCACTACGACAAGCAGAAGAAGGCCAGCCAACCTGACGAGAAGACGCAGAAAGACTCCTGCAGCAGTGCCTGTACAACCAGTGCCGACCACACCATAGCCTTCATGACCATTCAGACGACAGTCCACGGAAACAGTACGGCAGCACAAGCCACAGCACTGTTGGACTCGGGTTCGTCAGCCAGCTATGTCACTGGGGGTCTTGTTCGAAGTCTCGGCATCACGACAGAGAAGTGTCGCATGGAGACGACGGTGCTCGGAGGCAGCTCTATCGTCGGGGAAACGGAAAAGGCCAGCCTTGTTATCGCCAGCCTGGACGGTTCCTACAAAGGCAAGCTGGAGGCATGGGTGCTACCCACAATCACTGCAGCCGTGCCACCCGTCGAGTGGGAGCAGCAGAAGGCGAGCTGGAGCCACCTGCAGAGCTTGCCACCGATGGTGGATCCCAGCACTGCCGTCGACTTGTTGATCGGATTAGACGCGGCAGAGATGCATGCGTCTCTTGAGGAGCGTGCGTGCCCCACGGAGGGAGGCCCGACAGCCCGGAAGACGCGCCTCGGTTGGGTACTGTTTGGCCCAAATGCTGTCAACAAGTCTAGCAGTGGCAGCACTACTCTACTCGGCGTCTCTCAAAGCTCCGGAGCTGAGGAGGAGCTGGATGAGCTAGTGAAGAAGTTCTGGAGTCTGGAGGCTGTGGGAATGCAGCCACATCCGCATACGCCCGCAATGACTCCTGACGAGAAGGCAGCGGACGACCTCACAGCGGCAACATTGAGCCATGACGGTGAGCGTTTCCAGATCGGCATCCCGTGGCACAGCGGTGGACCTGGACCAGAGGTTCGGAGCAATTTCGAACTAGCAAATGGCCGGCTGACCAGCCTCATGCGGATGCTGGAGAGGAAGCCAGACGTCAAGCTACGGTATGCGGCAGTCTTGGAGGATTATCTTAGCAAAGGCTACATCAGACTTCTGGAAGACGTCAGCGCCAACCAGAACTACCTTCCGCACTTCGCCGTTGTTAGAGAAGACAAGGCAACTACCAAAGTGAGAATCGTCTTCGACGGAGGGGCTAGAAACGGGACCCATCCCAGCATCAACGAGCTGATGTACGCTGGGCCGAAGTTGCAGAATAACATGGTCCATGTTCTGCTCCGGTTCTGCAAGGATGCCGTGGCTCTTGCGGCAGATATCTCGGAAATGTTCTTGCAGGTCAGGCTGAGACCTGAAGACAGGTGCTATCATCGATTTCTGTGGGAGAAGGACGGCAACCTCGTAGCGTTCGAGTTCCTGAGGCTCGTATTCGGCATCAAAGCCTCGCCATACCTGGCAGGATGCGCACTGCTTGAAACAGCGAATAGGTTTGCTGACACAACGTCCAAGGAAGCCGTGAGAAGTGTGGCAGACAACTTCTATGTCGACGACCTCTTGAAGTCCTGCAAGTCTGACGAAAAGGCGATTCAGTTGCGAGCTGAGATGCAGGCGCTTCTGCATCAAGGAGGATTCCACATTCGGAAGTGGAACAGCAGCTCGTCAGCCGTCATCCAAACTGTTCCTGAAGCCGACCGAGCTGCAAACACCGAACTTGCCATCACCGATCGTGAGGCAGGAGCGGAGCCAACCCAGAAGACTCTCGGCGTGTCATGGTCGTGCCAGACGGATTGCTTCACCTTCCACTATGCTGAACCCAAGGAGTTTGAGTTCACGCGTCGCGGTGTGTTGTCGCAGATGTGCCGGCTCTGCGATCCTCGTGGGCAGCTGGCTCCTTTTACGGTACGGGCTCGTGTACTGTTCCAAGAGGCCTGCATCCGGGACACAGGCTGGGATGAGCACATGGAAGATGAGTTGACAGCAAAGTGGCAGCGCTGGTTTGCCGAGCTCCCAGAGTTGGCCAAGATCACCATTCCACGCTGTTTCAAGGATCCGTCATCAGATGAGCCGTTGTCACTGCACATTTTCACGGATGCGTCCGACTCGGCGTATGCGGCGGTGGTCTACACGCGCCAAGAGCTGTCAAATGGATTGGCAAGAGTGTCCCTGGCCATGGCAAAAGCTCGTCCGTCACCCATTAGGAAGAAGACGATTCCCATGTTAGAACTTCAGGGTGCTGTGCTTGGAGCTCGACTAGCTGGTGAGGTAGCTACGGCACTTGACGTTCCTGTGGAACGGCGGCATTATTGGACAGACTCTATGAACGTCCTTTATTGGATCAGATCATCAAGCAGGAAGTTCAAGATAGAGGTCGCGAACCGAGTTGCGCAGATCCAGGAGGAGTCGTCACCAAGCCAATGGCAGCATGTACCGGGCAAACTGAACCCTGCCGACCTTCCGTCTCGTGGAGCGTCCGCCAAGCAGCTGTCTGAAGAACAGGGGTGGTGGACAGGACCGGCATTCTTGAGGACGTCTGAAGTAGACTGGCCGAAGAGACAGATCATTGTTCTTGGCGAGCTACCAGGACAGCTGAAGCGCGCGACTTGTCTCACTGCTAACACCACAGCATCGCCGAGGCTCCATCCTGACAACTACTCCAACTGGACGCGTCTGAAGAGAGTCTCAGCCTGGGGTAGACGGTTTGTGCGTTGTGCTAGTAGAGGCAAGCACTGTGCGCAGGAGTCCTCAACATCGGCACAATCAGCAGCATGCGACGGTACGTTGGTCTCCCTCCATTATCGGCGAACCAAGGATTCACCGAAGGTGTCCGTTCAGCCGCTCACCGTGTCAGAGCTTCAGGAAGCGGGGCATTGTTGGATTCGCTATGCGCAGAGGGAAGCCTTCCCCGAGTCCTACGATGCCTTGCGTCATGGCAGAGAGATCAGCACTGGTGCCCTCGTGAAGCTGAAGCCGTACCTCGATGCACAGAGCGATATGATGAAGGTTGGTGGACGTCTGAGTACAGCCCATCACCTTCCAACGAGCGTTCAGAGTCCAGTCATTCTACCGTCAAAGCACCGCGTCACGCAGCTGATCGTCAGTGACGAAGATGACCGATGCGGCCATGTTGTGGGCGTCAATCACATTCTGTCTAACTTGTCTGTCAAGTATTGGATTGTCAAGGGCCAGTCAGCCGTGAAGCGTCATCGGAATGATTGTGTGCGGTGTAAGCGCACATGGGCCAAGGCTGCGCATCTAATCATGGGCCAGCTACCAGACTTCCGCACAAGCGGACCTCTTCAACCATTTGCAAAGGTTGGAGTGGATTACTGCGGCCCGTTCTACACAAAGCAAGGCCGTGGACGACCGCAGGTGAAACGCTGGGTTTGTGTGTTTACCTGCCTGCAAGTTAGAGCCTGTCATCTCGAGATGGCAACGTCATTGGACACCGATGGCTTCCTGATGGCATTCGACCGATTTGTGAAGCGCCGAGGTGTACCAATGGAAGTGGTTTCGGACAACGGGACGAATTTCGTGGCTGCGGAGAGGCTAATGAGGGAGGCGGTTGTTGCCCTGGACAACAGCAAGATTGAATCGAATCTGGCTGATCGCGGAGCGACTTGGCGCTTCAACCCGCCAGCATCTCCGCACTTCGGTGGTGTGTTCGAGGCGATTGTCAAGTCGGTGAAGAGAGCCCTGCAGAACGTGTTGCAACGTGCCGACATTACCGATGAGGAACTCATGACAGCGCTAGTTCACGCCGAAGCATTCCTCAACTCCCGACCCTTGTCCACGGTGTCATCAGATCCCACCGACTTACGGCCATTGACTCCTTTGAGCTTCCTTATCGGCCACATGGATGTGAGGACAGCTATGGAAGAGAATGCCGATCGTCAGGAGGTGGTCAACCCGCGGCGTCGCTGGCTTTACGTTCAACGGCTGGTATTGGAAGTGTGGCGAAGATAGTTGAAGGAGCTCGTGCCGCGGCTGAATGTACGCGCGAAGTGGCGTGGCGACAAGCGCACGGTGGAAGTTGGCGACGTGCTGCTCGTTGTGAAGAAAGATACGCCTAGAGGAAAGTGGCCTCTTGGCCGCGTGAGTGAAGTCTTCCCGGGTCCGGACGGCGTAGTGCGAGTCGTGGATGTCGTGATCCAGGGGAAGACTTACCGACGCGCGGTGCACAACCTCATACCACTGGAAGTTACAGATGATGAGCAAGCAGTTACACCGGCCAGTGTACCCGCCACCAGCTCTAAAGGTGTCGATGAAGTGTCTGCCGTAGTATGACATCACACTGAAAAGAGCGTGATAATGAGCATGACGAACTCTGATGTGAGTTTCCTTATGGCACTAGTGTTTAGGAATGCAGATTAGTTTGTTGTCTTTCATATGATAATTAGCTACTAGTCTCTAGCGTATATCTGTGTGAATTCTCTCTCAGTTGACTTCGTTCGAGAGGGAGGAAATGTTCGATTTAGTGTGTTCGAATTTGTGCATCATGTTTCTGCCTTGTATTAGTGCAGTAGTGCATTTGTAGTTTACTTATTTGTTGCTATTTTGTGCACTGTCTCAGTGGCTGGTTCTTTGTATCATAAGCATGAGTGCGCGTCTGCCGCTAGGCTAGTTGTCTGTTTCATGAATGCACTTGCGGTCGTTGTTGGCTGATCACTACACCATTGTCTCACATGTATCATCGTTCTAGCTGCGTGCTCCCGTACCTGTGAGTACGGTGTTCTTTTGGTTCTATATTCGTGATTTGCATTTTTTGTTTTGGTTCAGATGTGTTTACGATGTTTTTCAGATGAGTTTGGAAACGGTTGTGTTGAACTCTAAGCTGGTGTTTTTGAGCTAGTGCTTGTTGTCCGAAGATGGAATATTGAATACAGTCTGATTGGAGAAGTCATTGATTTGTTCAGTAACAGGGTATGAGCACAAGATCTTTGGGCTAACTTACCTAATTTCTGACTCTGTCTTGTCGTTTTCTCGCTGCTTTCTCTTTTGCCGCTATACACATGCAGATGTGAATGAATGTTTGATTGGCACACACAAATGTAGTGTACACGCACGGTGTGAGAATAGTCCTGGAATTTACAAATGCCTATGTCACACTGGGTATACTGGGAATGGATTCTCTTGTAAAGGTAAGGTATTTGGTCCTTTTTGGAAATCTTGTATATACTGTTTTTGTCTCTGCATCTGTCCGTTTGTCTGTCTCCGAATACTGAGACCAATACCAGGAATATAATCCATGTGTGTTTTTGCAAATAATCCAATAATTATGCTGTATAGTCAGACCAGGTTCTATATTTTATTAATTTGTGCTGATATGTGCTATTCTTATGGTTCATGTTCTAGAGGTTGACTGCGGAGTACTGACGACACCAGTGCACGGAACATTGTCAGCCATTGGCTGGACGTATGGAAATTCAGTAACTTACAGTTGCAATACTGGATTTGTACTGAGTGGTGCGCCATCAGTCTGGTGTCTTGTAGATGGCAAATGGAGTTCCCCATCACCAGAATGTCATCCTGTCCAATGTCCTGGTCTCAAGGAACCAGCTCATTCACATCTGAGTAGTACTAATAGAACATACACAAGTGTAGTGAAGTCAAGTTGCTCCATTGGTTATCAAACAATCACTGGTGGTGATGTACAGAAAATCCAATGTTTATCAACAGGTGTGTGGAGTGGTCAACTAACAGACTGTGAAATTGTAGAATGTCCAGTTAATCTGGTTCCGACGTCAGTTGTGGAAGTGCACCGTGATGAGGAGTATGGTGGTTTACTGATTTGGAAATGTGCGGACGGTTTTGTGTATGGTTCTGGCACCGAGCGACGGATATGTGGTGCAGATGGTGAATGGAGTGGAACAGCAATGCAATGTACAGGTCTGTAATGATGACGATGATGACATGTACTTTTCTATGCCTTTGAAGTCCCTTTACTTGTTGGTCAGTGCAAAGAACTATTGATCAAAGTTATTATTACTTATGTACCTATCTAATTGGTTTGTCGCAGGACATTCTTATGTGTGTTCATCTCTGTCTGCATGCTTTTCTGTGTGCGTTTGCATTTCAGTCTACATACTTTTCTATGCGTGGGTTGTTTGTTCGTTTGTTCGTTCCTTTCTTTTGCTATAGATACGAATGAGTGTTTGGAAAGGTCACATGACTGTAGCAAGTATGCACTATGCCATAACAAACTGGGAGCACATGATTGTGTTTGTTTGAGAGGTTATGATGGTGATGGGAAAGTCTGTAAAGGTAAGCCACTTGACTACTTCGCGTTCTACATGATGCCTCAATCCTAAGAGCATTTGTTAGAGCTAGGGCAGCCAGACCAGCTAAGTGGAAGCCATCCGACCCACTGATGCGCTCTTTTCTTCCAATTATTATGTTCTTTCCTTTTTTCATTCATTTCCTTCTCTTGCCATGGCTGGCTCCTTTGCATTGGATTCTGCCATTGGACGGTGAAATAAAAATTTAAAAAAATTAAATTATCATGGCGGACCGGATGTAGTGCTCGCCCAGAGTTGGGGCTGAACTCAGCTACTAAGAAAGGTTGGTGTTGTGTTGGTGTTGGCATTACACCATGTAAGGGAGCATCTCATAAGTTCGCATTTTTTTCCTAAACGTAACGCATTTCGAACGGGGGTAGGGGGGGGGGGGGGTAACGCCCTTTTCGAATAGAAAAATGACAGTTCGCACATTTTCTGGATGTGTACATACTGTGCGCATGCAGTGCATGTTCTACATCAGGACACTAGTGCTTCAGCAAAATGAGTGTGTTTAGGTGTACATCTCAGATATGTACCTGTGTTTGGAGATCAGCTAAACCTTGCATACACCATGTACACTGCATGTATGCAGGCTACTCAGAGGTGTCAAATGTCACACCAGCCTGATCAAACTGTGTACCTGGCCAGCTTTTACAGAGTCAGTACACAGTTGATGCGGAGGAACTCTGTTTATGTGCGTGTACATGTCATTCATTGTACTTGTACTCCATAATAATAATAATACATGTAGATGGGGTACTACTGACTATGGTAAGTAGTCTGTATGCCATTCACTTTGACATTCATATCCATGTATTTTGTACATGTGCATACCATGGCATGCATGGGCATGGACATGCACAGATCCACACGGAAAAAGGAAAAAGGAAAAAGTGCGAAAAGACTTTCGAATAGAGGGGGGAGGTAGGGGGTAAAGTCTATTCGAAATGCATTACGTTTACAAAATAAGTGCGAACTTATGAGATGCTCCCTAAGTTACATGTATATTGTATTATTTTTTCGTCCTGTAGCATATTAAAAACCACAATGTAGCAGACAGCATTTTCATTTTGAACCCATCTTGCTGGCAAGATTCTACTTCACTCTGTGTTTCACCCGTGCATTTTACTGGATTTTCCTTCATGTATATGTTCGTTTTGTTGTTCAGCCAAATCCTGTGGACACCCTGGACATACTGCATACAGTGTAATGTCTGGTACAGACTATACATACAGTAAAACAGTGAAGTACATGTGTAGCCGTGGTTACGTGATGCGTGGTCATGGTTACTTGACGTGCCAGGCGGATGGTACATGGAATGGGTCCTTACCAGTTTGTCACCATGTGCAGTGTCCTGACTTAGCTCCATCATCATGGTCACATGTCAATAGTTCTAACTTCACCTATGGCAGTGTAGTGAGATTTCGTTGTGATGAAGGATTCACACTATTGGGATTATCCAGTATGTTACAGTGTCTGTGGAATGGTAAATGGAACAATGTACCACCAACATGTAACCCAGTTGAATGTAATGATCCTATTGCTGGTACCAACATGCTGGTGGTTAGTGTGAATGTTACGTTTGGCGGTTACGCAATGTTCCGCTGTCAATCTGGATATGCTGCTGCTGGTAGTGGGCAGAAACTTGTCAGTCAGTGTTTGTGGAATAAAACCTGGTCTGTGAATACTGGTCTCTGCTTGGGTAAGTTACTAAAGATCGTTTGTGACTTAGCCTCTAGAGACTGAGCAAGTGTGAGGTGAATTGTTTCTGATATTGAACAGTGTATGTAGATTTCCTTGAAACACAACTGTGTGGTCCTTCAGCAGTATCATTTGTTGTGTGTGTTTCAAATAACAGCTGTGTGGTTGATCTGCAGTTTCACTCGTTGTGTGTATGTGTGTGCTATGTGCAGATGTTGATGAATGTGAGAAGTCCGTGCATGATTGTAGCATCAAAGCACGTTGTGTGAATCAAGAGCCATCATACACATGTACATGTCATGCTGGATATAGAGGAGATGGTCACCAGTGTTCCAGTAAGTCAACAGTGTGCAACCATTGTGTAGTGAACTTGCACCAGCATTATATCCTTTTTACAGTTTGGGTCATTGGGACACTAAGGGCTGCGAAGTTTTAAGAAGAAATGACCCTGACACTCTGGCTGCAACATGAAAGATCAGGGAAGAGCAACTTCCAAGTTGCAACTTCACCTTTTATTCTGAAAACTTGGTTCCCCAGAGCACGGCAGGATCACACATGCATGAACCCCATCAGAATATTGATACTAATTAGTTGCTGGTTTGTGAAGTTAAAACTTGCAACATGGAGATAATAGTGATGAAGGATCTATGAATACAATAATGTATGCACTAACATGACAAACATGGTAAGGTAGTTTACGTCCAAGAATGTTTCTTGTCAGAAATGTGCAGTATTTCCTGTTCCATTCATACACAACCAGTGCTGCTGTTTATGTTTTCCTTCTGTCTTCTCCAGTCATTGAATGCAGTAAACCTGAAGCACCAGCACATGGCTCAGTACAGGGAAGCAGTTTTGTGTATCGCAGCAATGTGAAATACAGCTGTATGGACGGGTTTGAACTAGTGGGAAATATGGAATCTTGGTGCCTGGCTTCCGGACAGTGGAGTTCTTCAACACCAACATGCTCTCCAGTCCAGTGTTCCCGTCTTGTGCCTACAAGTCATAGCTCTCTGAACACTACTAACCATACATACAGTAGTGTAGTGGAGGTTCTATGTGATCTGGGATATACACTACCATCATCATCATCATCACCTGTGTCCTCAGTATCATCAACTACTGTATGCCTGTCCAGTGGTGTATGGAGCAGAACATTGGCAAAGTGTCAAGTTATTGAATGTGCAGGAATTGTTCCAGCTTCGTCAGTGCAACAAGTCAGCGTTGTGAAGACCTACGGTGGTAATGCTGTGTGGAAGTGTGCATCTGGATTTGTGAAAACCAGTGGAAATGAGATACGGAGTTGCCAAGCAGATGGAACATGGTCAGGAACTGAACTAGCATGTAGAGGTAAGGAGAGTTGGTTCAGATTATGCACACTCGATATTACTGGTGTGCAAAATTATGTAGCAATGCCTGTTGAGCACCCAAAAGCGGCCCTAATGTCAGGTGATTGCCACCCAATTTCGCTGACGTGGTATATGACGTGGCAATTGTTTTTACTGAAATCATAGATTTCCTACCTAATTGGAAGACGATTTCTCTGGTTATTAATCAGCGTTCCTGTTTGTCAAGATGTAGCTTTTTTTCCTGCAATGCTTTGGCCAGTGTGTCAGGCTGTCTGTTATGCTTTGTTTTTATGTGTGTTATATTTAGACTTGGATGAATGCAGTGGAA